GCCAACGTTCTGTAAGGTTTCTGACATAACTAGAGTCCAGGCCCAACCGGGCTCTGAGGTGAAGTCGCAGTAGACTTTAAACTCATGACAGTTGTTGTCTTGGATATAGAAATAGCCTGATGCAGGCTTACTGATCAGCTGTCTTGCCTCTTTGCAGCTGCGTGGCGGCTGCGAAAATGAAAAAGAACGCAGAAGGGTTAAACTCCTGCGAGCTCTAACAAGTCCTATCTCGAGCTTATCAAAGACCTCTTTGGATTCTTTTTCTCCTCTCTTCCTCCCTCCCGTTCACTTCACTCTTCTCTGCTTTCGTTTGGGTACTTTATTTATAAAAATGCAACGATTCTGAAGTGATTTTAAGATGGATGAACCAAGATGGCAAACACAGCTAAGTTACCTTTCTCCGCCGTGCGAAAACATAACCAGCTTTTTCCACCAAGTTTTCCTGATCGCCCTCTTTTCCGCCGTTTAACTCACAAACGCCATGGTCGGACTCTGACATTTGGTAGTTGTATGATGAACATGACGGAAGAGACAAGCATCTGTGAGCACAGGAGAGAATTCCACCGCGAGTGAACAACGACTTGATCACCTGGCCGATCAGAACACGGTTGTATAAGAGGGAATCAAAGGACTCCCTGAAACGCTCACAATAATCCCCGTCACAATAGCAAGAGTATGAAAAGAATATGTAAAGGAGAACGAAGTTTTTGGAGAACATTTTAGTTAAAATCTCGAAGCAACTCAACAGTTAGACAAGGGTTGGGCTACTTATGTGACTTGTACAAATGTTAGCGTACAATTAATACATTTATCAACAAGGCCATGGATTAAAAATGTAAAAGTAATAAAATATTAATTTGCTCTTCTTTGTCTATTTCGTTTTCTCAATTAAGTTATGGAAAAATCTAGAGAGTAAGGTAAAGTAAAGTTAAACTTAATTTACAGGGTAAATAGCCCATTCAGCTCCAAGGCTGGTCTCCATAGGAGCCCTGTATCTTAAAAAATTAATTTGTATGAAGAATTTTCATAAACTATCATATTCAAAGAGACTAATAAACATACAACAATAGAATTTAAGAACTACATTAAGAGCCTAAAAAAGAAGAGAAGAAATGTCTTGCTCGGCTGCAACACGTCTGAATGTTTTTCACTCTTCACAATGTTTATTGGGAGTTTGCTCAAAATTTTTGCACCAGTAAAGAGAAAGGTCCTTTTCCTAAAATACTGTTTAACGTTTGGTAGGGATAGCCTCAGAGAGAGCTACTTTATTAAGGTCAATTTTTTTTAAACAAAATTTAATTAGCTGATGAAAAATCCTTCCAGAAACCTAACTAATTCAGATGGGTGTTTAATTACTGAAACATAATTTTCATGTGTCAATGAAACACTGGCTGTGACTGAGTAATGTGCATTGTAAGGAAAATTCCTTTTAGCAAAGATATTTTCTAAAATCATATATCTCAACATGGATTTATACATAGTTTTTATGTGTGAGATAATACGCTCGCTCTGACTTAGTAATTCGCATTTGAAGGAAAATTTGTTCAAGAAAAGAGTTTCCAAAAGCATGTATCTTATGCTTTTATGGAAAGGCAATGGCGACGAGACCGAGTTTTTCTACACTTAAACAGCTAAACACTTAAAGTAAAAAGAAAATTGATTTTTTCACGAGAATTCTAGCCCTTTGGGTCTCGATTTGTTTCTGTTTTCCTTTCGTTTGTATTTTTTTTTAGTTAACATGTGGATCAACATAAGAATTTTCTCAGAGGAAAAAAAATGCAACGGAGTCGGAGACAATGTTGCGGTATATGGTTTTGTTAAGTCTCGGCTGGTTTATTCTATCGAAATACTTCCAAACACTTGACAGTCTTGATTCCAGATTCAGGATTAAGCTTAATTATAACTATTGCTATGGTTTTTGTTAAGTCTCAGCGGGTCTTTCCATAAAAACACCTTGTGATGCAAAACCTTGCTGTGCCAATAACAATAGCGTTATCCTTAAGACACTTATAGTAAAAAGAACATTGATTTTTTTCACGAGAATTCTAGCCCGTTGAGTTTAATTTATTTCTGTTTTCCCTTCGCTTGTATTTTTTTCTTTTGGTCAACATGTGAATCAACATAAGAATTTTCTCAGAGAAAAAAAATACAATGGTTTTAATTTCCTTTAAAATATAGGAAGATTATTGAGTCGGAGACAATGTTGCCTCCCAAAAAGACACAGTTGCTTTAGCCCCACAAGGAAAACAAACAATGAACAAAGAAAAAGCAATAAAATGCGTTGGTGACCTTATTTGAGCTCTTATCCATCGAAAGCAGCAGGGATGCCGAACGAAGACCACTACGCAAAAGTAAAAGTAATTTTCAAGCTTCTGGTGTAATCTACAGACAATCAGGAATCACTTCTATGACAATGTAATGTGACTGACCGATTATGACTCCCTTCAGATGCTACAAATGGATGCCGCCATGGATGTTTGTTGATACAGATGCTACATGGAGTACTAGATTGATTGAAGGCGGGGGTTGTACGGCACATGAATTAATATTAAAAGGCCTTCACTTTTCCAATTCAAGAATAAAGAGAGCCATTCCCTATACTCTTATCGCAGGAAAAGTCTTTTGCAAGAAGTTTGCATCCCACAAAATCATGACACATGGCATTGAGCCTTCTTTTTTCTTTTGTTTCCAAGCCCTTAACATACTGAAAGCCTTCTTTGCCAACCCTTTATTGTCTTCATTAAAGTGCCTACGAAACGAAAGTTTTTTTTTTTTGCATTTTCTGGGCAATAGCTGTATTTAAAATTGGAAATAATCGACCTTAGCGCCTAGTGAATGCTCCTTGACCATTTTTTGTGCATTGAAATTACGATTTGCTGGCCGAAAAGTGTCTCCGTTAAGCGCGCTGCCAAAACGATCATGTTACACAGCTGTGACGTAGAAAACTGTGAAGACACGTCTGCAACTTTGGTGGAGAAAGGAGAAATCTGGATGAAAGGACGAACGTATTGCATGGCCAGAGCGCCAAATGATGTTAGCTACAAGAATAATACACATATATCGGGTATTTCTATACATTACTTTCCAAAGGATGTAGCTGTATGGCCAAAATGGACGCGTTCGACGATCGATCGTCGACATCGAGGAGATTTTACTCTTCAATGTCGTTTGCCTTATGCTCCGAACCGGCCTCAAAGACCCCTGTTACGAACAAATATCATTAGTCAAATCAGGGGAAGATAAGTCTTTAGTTTAGTTCAGCTAAAAAAGAATGCTGATTAAGGGGCCTGTTCCCACACCGTACAGGATTGTTCAACATTCTTTTCGGATGACATTTCGTAAGCGAAGAATGGTGAGCTCCGATCCTTATTGTTGTTTATTTCTTGCGCTTGAGATGTACTCATACTCCTTGTCTTTCCACATGACTACATTTGCGCTTTTCTCATCATAGGAAAATCCTACCAATTGTAGTTTCCGTCGTATTTCAATAACAGAAATACATTATTTGTAATGAAGTTTAAGCCCTTTCCTGAGCTGATCTATATCCTGTTGCGTGAACAGTGCGAAACCTCTGGTGGATACTGGCATAATCACAAGCTCGAAATGGCCGTGTATTCTTCTAACCTAGGTTTCCGAAAATCCATCCCACGAGCCTTCAATTCTGCCCTGCCCTCAAGAAACTAAAAGAAGCAACAGTAGCAATGTTATTGTAAAAACAGCACTGCAACGAGATAAATAAAGAAACACAAATTTTATTGAATTAGATGGTAGCGAATCCAAGTGCTGTGTGAAAGTCGACGCGTACGAAATATTCATTTATAATACTGATGTCACTAGTGATGCACCACTGCAATACTGCAATGCCTAAACTAAAGAAGTTTTTCTCTCTTAAAATCCCTATTTGAGATTAACTTGAATCAGATGACTATAAACTCAC